GCCGGAAGAAACTCCAGCAACGCTTCTATCATTGACCGGGGGAAACCTGCCAGGTACGTGGCGAAACCTAGTATATGTTTGCCACACTCGCCGGCGAGTGTGGTGTGTTCCCATAACTTTTTGATCCTGTCAATGGCGATAGTCATCTCATCGTCAGGGAAGTCGAGAACGTGCAAATACTTAATAACTGGAATCTATAAATAAATAAAAAATAAAGAAAAGAAAATAGTATTCAAAGTAGACAGTAGTATAACATTACAATATGTGGTAGGGCCACGCAACATTGCTTTTGTCTTCGTTTTTTGACGAATGGTTCATGGTCAGAATAAAAGGTCACACTTTCGCAAATAAAACAAAAACAAATAAGAGGCCCTTGTTTAATGTATTGGCCTGAATTGTAAGATGTTACGCATATTTTAGTTTTTTCTGTTATGTAGGTCGCTATAAACATTACTCAATATTCCTAATGAAACAAAAACTGGGACGTTTTAATGCCTTAAGATAAAGTATAATCCAATGCGTTTTATTTAGAATTGCACGCTTTTTACTGTGGTATACTGTATACACTGGTATACATAAAACAGTGAAGACTGTGAATGGGCAAGTCCGTCTGGGGAAGTACCACGACCTCGCGGAAGATCGGCGTGAAGTGAAGGTATACTTCTGTTTTGTCTGGTGAGAGAGGTGACCGGAGTCCACTTTATTAAAAAGTGGTAACTCATCAGTAACCCTACGGGTGTTGCAAATGTCCGGTGGCTAGCACTTAACACCAGTTGAGCCGTCAGCTCGATTGCCACCGTCTCACATAAAAAAATATCTCTTATGATATTTCGTTCCTTTACCATTAATCTGTAAGCGATGTTTTGCTGTCCTGTTCTTCGCATGGTATAAGCAATATGTTTTGAAATAGTTTTTTCATATGTTTATTTAATGAAGTACACCTTTTGATTTTTGTATATATGTATGGTACATAATAATATAAAATATACATGCTATTACAATATATATACACAATATTATTTTATTATTTTATAGGCATTGCATTGATTAAAATTATTATTTACCTATTTAGGCAACTTATTATTTACAACACTTCTTCTATTTGTATCCTTGTTTTAATTTATTATCTGATATAGTGTTTTATATGTTGTTGTGAGACTTTTAAAGTATATTATTTGCATGTTCATTCCCTATTGAGGAGAAAACATTTTACAGCATTCGCAGATTTCTTTAGTAGCTGTCGTTTCTCTAAGACGAATATTTATTAGAATGGGAGTGCAATGGAATTTGTTTCATAAAGTAAAATAATCAACATACTTCCGCGTTTCATCGGGTGAGGTTACGAGGTAGCCGGGGCCCAGGTTTTAACCGACTTCAAAAAAGGAGGAGGTTTTCAATCGACTATATTTTTTTATGTTTGCTACCTCATAACTTTCGACTGGGTGCACCGATTTTGATGATTCTTTATTTATTTGAAAGCTGGTGCTTCCCATGTGGTCCCGTATTAATTTCATCGGTATTGGATCTTGAGCTCCGGAGATACGAAGGGATCTCCTGCAAACCAATTATAAAATTAATACAGATCGAGATATTTGACCTCGGTTTTGTTTTTCGTGAATAAAAAAATGCACTTGTTAAGGTTGACAAAACATCTGCAATTATTCAGATATTTCAGATGTCCGAGGTCTGGCAGGTCATAACTTTACATCAGCTGACTATTCTTAAATAGATTTATATGAAAAAGTTTACAAAATTTTACAGTTTTTACAGTTCTCGAAAATATTCCATCTATTTTTCGACGGAACCCAATACTTTGAAAAAGGGTTCGCTGGTCGCTTTGCTCTAAATAGCATAATCCTAATGACAAGATATTAAAGTGATTATAAGAGCTCACGCTCACGGGTTTGAGCATTTATATATCGAACAGCCGTAGGTGTGGAACGTTCTTAAGTCAACTAGAGCTGTGGTGTTAACTTGTATAGAATATCTATTGTGTTTCGGTCTTTTAGAGGTGAGTTTCACTTTACGTTACCTTATCCTGGGCGTGCATTGCAAGACGGCTTTATTTTTAATTATTCCACTTGAAAAACTTACACAGACATTCGTAATACAACTCACCTGAAGATTCATCAATAAATTATACCCGTTTACAAAAATATTTAATAATTAATCCGACCCGATTGGCGTAGTGAGCAGTGACCCTGCCTCTTGCGCCAGAGGGTGTGTGTTCGATACCCACTGCTGGAAAAATATTGTGTGATGTACATAGTGTTTTTCCAGTGTCTGGGTGTTTATATATTTATAATAATTATGTATTTATTTACAAAAGAGAAGTATGTTTATAAGTTTTCTTGTACCCATAGGACAAGCGTTGCTTATTTTAGGTCTAGAGCACGTTGTATAAAAATGTATCTGCAAATATTTATTTATAAATTATTATTATAATTAATATTTTTTTTTTTCAAAAGAAACGTATGCTTAAGTATTTTATAAGTTACCTAGTACAGGCTTTGCTTGGGACTACATGACATTCTGTAAAAATATGTCCTGAAAAATATATGGTATCGTTATTGCTTCTATCCGAATATTTATTGCAAGCATAATTGAGTTATTTCTTCCTAAAAATAAGCATAATTTACGTTGTTCAACGCTAGGGAGGGCCTGAGAATCTCAGGAATTTCTCCTTGCGCTGATAATGCATGATGTGTAGCTCATCTTCCTTTAGCGTTCATTATTAATTTCGTTTGATTAAAAAACGATGCACAAGGATTCAAACTCAGATTACTCATTATATTGAATTAAAAGCGACCGCTCGGACACTGAGATATCACATCTGTCTGAGCTATCTCGTCTGTATACTTTATCATTATAGGTTTATTTTTATGTACGTTTTGTATTTTCTTTTTATATCAATTATCTGCGTTTGTAGTTTTAAGATTTCCAAACGGAAAGTACACACAAGCGATGATTTTCTAACAAAATTGCATCACATACGTAGACCACTTAAAGCAAATTACTTAACTCAGACTCCCCATACACTGTTAGTCATTCTCAGTAAAGTATAGTGATCCTAGACTCTTGAAAACCCATTATCTTAACCCACAGGAAATTAAGATACCTTCATCTCTTATACAGAAATATAGCTGACGGATTGACTTAATATTTGTTCACAACGTAACAATTGAACAATAGAAGTGTTTGAATATATTTTTATTTCGAAGGTACAAAGGAATCGAATAGACGCGCATGGAAATGGGCTCAGCTAGTATCTACAATAACTTCTTATATTTACCCTAACACTACAAGTTATTCAATGAAACTGTTTTTCTACTATAGCATCGATTTCCATATACATCTAATCGTATTTGTCGTCTGAGATGTAGGATATTCCTAATTTATTTAAGATATAGTTTTAAAGAAATTATTTGAAGACTTTGAAAGGAACTATTTGTTGTTCAGAAAGTCTTGATCAATTATAATATCAGCATATTTATATTAATACGTTTAAATATAATTGCAAGGACTTTATAAGAAATATTCCAAAAAACAGGCCAAGTGTGAGTCGGAGTTGCGCACGGAGGGTTCCGTACCCTTATGTATAAAAACGGCCAATTTTCGTGTCCGGACGGACGGACGAACGGACACGAGAACAGACAGACAGACAGACAAACAGACAGACAGACATACAGGCAGACATACAGACAGACAGATAGATAGACAGACAGACAAACAGCGGAGTCTTAGTAACTCTAAAAATGATTTGCACAGTATAGTGCTAATGTGAAGATAATACGTTCAAAGATATACCAACATAAAAGTACTTCTAATGAAGGAATCCGAAAAATAAAGTGTATAAAGAACTCATTACGCCACCTCTCATGATATATGTAAATTCAATTTTTTTAATCTCTTTGTTATAAATAAACCAATTATAAAATAATTGCGACGTAATTATCACTAGTGGGACATTAATAGTCAATAAATAATGGTAAAAAATATAATTCCTATTATAGGAGCAGTGATGAAATATTCTATTTAATTCCAATGAACTTGTTTACGTATTAATGACGTGCGCAAACAATAGTAAACACGTCATGATTACTCACAAATGGCTGGTGCGAAAACGTTTCGTTCAGTAGTTTTTTTTTTATGCACAATTGAATCTAACTCGGTGACTGTTGCTAAGCTATTGGGTTCGCCGTTGAGGGTCGTGGGTTCGATTCCCACACGGGACAAGTATTTGTGTGACCCACAGATATTGTTCCGGGTCTGGGTGTTTCCGAAGCAGGGTTGACATCAGGCAGGCGGCAGGTCGTAAAAAATATAGCAAAAACCGCTTACAACATGATTCACGTGTTTTGCAGACCCCACTTAGGGCATGAGGGGGATGATGATGAATTGAATCTAAATTTAAATGTCACGGGAGACTACAATTGATTGAGCTTTGCAAATCGGCTATTTATCGCTAAATACGAATCTCCATACAATAATTTCTTAGATGCAAAACACTTAAATACAATTCAGCTAACGTTTAATAACGTTTGGGCATGGTCCACCACGTGACCATACTGAGGATCGGCAGCCTTCACATATCTTCGAAATGTTTTTCTTTTGTTATTATTTCGAAAATATGCGGGTTTCCCGATGTTTTCCTTCATTTAAATATTTCATTCTCTCTGTAATCAATGTATGCCTTCGCTATATTTTTCACGAAAATTATAATTACTATTCCTAGTGTATTGTTACTGTACTTTTCCTCTATGTATATAAATGCAGCAAATATAATGTTATGCGATACATAATATATAATCTGTAACTTTTTGAAGCAATTGGATCTTTTTTATTTATTTATTATATTTGCAAATTATTAATTTTTTAAAGTAAACCATCAACAATTAAAAATAAAATATATTTTTTTTAATTATTTGTTTTTAAATTGTTACAAATATATACAGTTTTGGAAATCGTGTGAAAAATTTTAAATTATTATTAGGTTACAGATGTCGTCGACAACCGCATATGAGCCGGTCGCGAACTTTTACGCGGGGAAGTCCATATTTATAACTGGTGGTACTGGATTTCTTGGGAAGGTAATATATAATCTATATAATATAATATAAAGTACCCGGAGGACCGAGCTTTGCTCGTTTGTTTTTTTTTTGGTAAATCGTGTATTTTGGAAATAAAATTTAGATGTAAATTACTGAGTAATAATATGCATAATATTTTTCGATCTTATCGACGTAATAATAAGAAAATATGAACTGATGTTTTTCACAAAAGAAAGAAATTTTTAAAAAAAGGGAAAAAAATAAAAAAATAACAAATCGTTAAAAAATAAAAAATAAAGAAAGCAATGATCTGGAATCGAAAAAAAAGTAAAAAATAAATGTGTAAATGATCGTGACGCGAACCACGGCCGTCTGTTTTGGGGCCGCCCGATTACCGACCGAGCTATTATGACATTTTCTCTTGCGGCGAAATTTACCGTCATATTCGAATTATATTTTTCATTCCCTGAAAACAGGGATAAAAGGACATTTTCTAAAAATGAAACCTAGCTAGATCGATTTTTCGCCCCCCAATCTACGCACATACTAAATTTCATGAAAATCGCTGGAGCCGTTACCGAGATTCCGATTATATATATATATATATATATATATATATATATATACAAGAATTGCTCGTTTAAAGGATAAGATACGTAAAGCAAAAACTTTTTACACCTTTTGAAAAAAATTGCGCGGACGGAGGAGGAGAGTATGAAATTTCCCACACTAACATATAATTTATATGTTAAGAGAAGGAGTGCAGAATGTTAATACTTTTTTTAATTATAATATAATGTATATTTTCAAATTTCATCTTAAGTGCAGGGCTAAACTATACTTAAAAGTAAAAGAAGCAAGTAAAGTACTTGTATAACTATATATATATTACTACTTTAAAATTTCACGCTATGAGTTTATGTCAACATAAAAATAAGTATTTCAAATATTCTCCTCTGTAATTTTTTTCCAAGAGCAAAAGTGACATAGTAACAATTGTTAATCGCCCGAAAGACTCCGTTTTTCTTGTAGGCCAAAGTTTGGCAAGAACACTAGAGATACCGAGTAAGCTGTTAGGTGATTTGAGTTCAAACTTTCGATTTATTAATCATCAACCAAAATAATCATAGAACCTACTAGTCGGCTTATCCCATAATTTAACTAAGCTATAAACATTTCCCCCCAGGTCAGTTTGACTAATAAATACAATCAGATAATATAGTTTGACTAATTATTATGATTAATTTTTCCAGGTATTGATAGAAAAACTTTTGTACAGCTGCCCGAAACTGGACAAAATCTACACCTTGGTTCGTGAAAAGAAGTCGCAGAGCCCGGAAAAGCGCTTGCAAAACATGATTGAACTACCTGTTAGTGATTAATAGTCATTAATTTATATTATTTAAAACAAATGAGTGAATTAGTATCTAAAGCATGCTCACTTTAAAAACATAAAACAGGGCATCTTAATAGAATAAGTACCAAAAGCAGCTGAACAGTTTATTACAAGTTAATGAGGCAATATGCGTTGCAATTTTCACATGTGTATTCCGTTTACAGATCGAAGGCACAACACCCGTAGGGTTGCAGATGCGTTGCCACCTTTAATAAAGTGGGCTCCGGTTGTCTCACTCACTAGACGAAACGCAAAAGTATAACACTTCCACTTCACTTCACTTCCGGTCTTCTGTGAGGTCGTGATATTTCTGCGCTGTTGCCTGTATGTTTCATAGTCATATCATTTGAACGACATCGTTTCGAATTTATCACATATTTTGCCTGTAACTTGTACTTTTATATTCTGTTATGGGTTTAGATGGTTTCTGTTAGACAACGAGCAGTAGTAAACACTTAACATCTGCTGCTTTTTTGCTAACTCCCTCTATAGAAAATAACCTTTTTATGACATTTTACAGATGTTTGCAAGATTGAGAAAAGAAAGACCAGAAGACTTGAGGAAAATCGTCCCTGTTGTTGGAGACATAACTGAGCCTGATTTAGGTATTAAAGAAGAAGACCAAGAAGTGCTTTTGGAAAAGGTAATGCTGCAAAAATTACAAAAAGTCGCCTATTGGATTGCCTCTTTTCTTCTCGATAATAAAATAAACAAATCGAATGCTTTATTCAAAACTTAATACTACACTAGGCTTTTATTAATAAACAACAATTTCGTAAAGGTCTTTTTAAATTATTAAAGAATTTTTGGTGTATGAGAAATTCTATTAAAAGAGGTCTTCACCAACGATATTTATTCAGATAATTTAAAGAATTGTTGATTAACCGCCAGTTTCAACTTCAGGTCAATGTTGTCTTCCACGTCGCTGCGACGGTATTGTTCAATGAACCGTTACGAGTGAGCATGGACCAAAACTTTGAAGGCACAAAGAGAACTCTGAACATAAGTAAGAAAATGAAAAATTTGCAGGTATGTAACTTCTGCTTATTTCCTAGTTAAAACAGCGAAAATGATTTAGGCGGGCTTGAAAGTATTTACATGTACTATACGTCCTTATTCTATAAATATGAAAACATGGAAATACTAAATGTTATTTCTTTCAATGTATTACGCTACTGTAATGGTAGGCGTCCTCTATACAAAGATTTTCAAACAAAAATAATGAACATCATACATTAAATTGTCATATTTTTGCTTGTTTTGTTTTTTCAAGAATTAGTTAGATGGTAAATAGGAAAAGGTTGAGAATTGATTAAACTTTAGTCCTTTGCCACGTATCATGCCATTATGCCACTGACCCGTTTAAGTATCAAAAAGTTTTAACTGATATATAAATAAAATATACTGACTTGAAGAATACTGCATATAGGTAATTATATCATACATTATAACAAGAAAACTTTATTGATACGATAAAATCCTTACTAATATTATAAACGCCAAAGTTTGTATGTATGGATGGATGTTTGTTAATCTTTCACGCAAATACTGCTGAATGGATTCTAATGAAACTTTACAATAATGTAGCTTATACATCAGAATAACATATAGGCTATAATTTATATACATATTTTTATGTATATCTGTCTTTCTGTCTGAATGTTACGGCTTCAGCCTATTCTACGCAGACGTAATCGCGAGCAGCAGCTAGTATTTAAATATTCAAAAACAAATAAACCTTTTTTTTTCTAATGTTGATACTCTTAAATATTGCTAAAACTTGCGAAGTACCTGGATCTAAAGTTCAATTGCATGTATTTTTTTTTTGCCTATTTTGCCTTTGCCTATTCTGTTCGTCATTTAACGACAATTCACTCATTGTACCGCCAAAATCGATTTACAACACTGCAAATATTAATTGGAAAAATTTATTTGTAAGGCGTTTGTATACGTATCTACGGCATATTCCAACACGACTCGTGAGGAGATCAAAGAGGTCGTTTATCCCCCACCAGCGCTTTATGACGACGTTTATGCTGCACTAGAAAAACATGGAGATGATGAAAAGGAGATTAAATTGATTCTCAGTGAGTACGTTATAGCTCTCCCTCTATGGTTATTTTGTGTATGTATATACACATATCACCATCCTCTTGCCCTTATCCCACGTACGTGGGGTCGTCACAACATGTGAGTCATGTTGTAAGCGGTTTTGGTTATGATTATGAACGGTCGTACCGTTGGCCTGCCTGACGTCAACCTTCCTTGGGAAACAAACACCCAGATCCAGAACAGTTTTTTTGGGTCACACAAATACGTGTCCCGTGTGGAAATCGAACCTACGACTTTAAACACCGAAGCCAATAGCTTAGAAACGGTGCGACCGCGTCATTCATTGCGTATGTGCATATACAGGCAGGCTTTTCTAAGTGTATCCATTTTTTTTAAATTAAATTCTAGACATACATAATGTTATATAAAAATGATGAATATTTAAAATCACTCGTAATTAATTAATTACATTCATTTGAACTTATCTCAATAAGTGCGTGATTTATGGGCAACTCATTTATTTTACGCGCGATCATTCATAACTAACACGCACAAAAGTTCGTTTCAAAAGTATACGACGCATTTATGAATGACTTCCGCATTATCAACAAGTTCTGTTTTTTAGATAATAGAATGGCAATTTTTTTTGAAAGAAAAGTTTTTTTTTTTTTTTTTTTTAATAAACGATTATACTACAAAGTCTCCTCTGTGAATTTAGGCATCTTTAAAAAAGCCACCCTGTATGTATAAAATACTTCGTCTGACATGGAATATTAATAATAATGTTGAATCAATTCGGCTATTTAAACAAAAAATATATTTTCCTACAAAACGTCAGTTGGTAATCAGTTGTCGCCAGCGGTTTTTCGAACACCGGCCTCTGGAAGTTGGAAAGATGGGGCCCACTTTATTAAAAGCAACACAGCGTAAAAAAGTGCATCTAATGACCTTAACCGATCAGTGTGTGACAAATAAATGTAAGACATTACCTCTGTCTTAGATTATCAGAAATTTAAAGTCAAAGTCAAAGTGAAAATTGCATTATTAAATAAAGGCTTATTGAAGGAACTGCCACCACCAGCTAACTATAAAAGACCCGTCCAGAGAAGAACCGGCAAGAAACTCTACGGTCTTAGTATATTATGTTTTTTTTTTAATTACATGAGTTTACAAGATTATTTAAGTATTAAATCAACAACAGCCAGGGAACTTGAAAGTGCAGAGCAAGTCTTTGTTTTAGGTATCGCAATTTCATAGCCGGTTCTATGTACTTTGAAATATTTGTAAAATGTATTTATCATATTTCTTTTTCAGATGGTCAACCTAATACCTACACATTTACAAAAGCGTTAGCTGAGAACTATGTAGCTAACACCACGGAGACATACCAACGGTTATAGTCAGACCGTCTATCGGTAATAATTATAATATATACATTTGAACTACTTCCTAGCCCATGCCAGGAGGATCTTCTCTAAAATTTATAGTCAATAGTAGTACGTGGTGAAAAAAATAAAAATAAACATGGGCATTTACTACACTTACCTGGCCGTCCTCAGGATATTATATCATATATTATTAAAAGATTCGCAGATCAAACATACAAATGACATTCAACGATCAATATTTGTAACGAGAGATCTCGCCATTGCTCTTAAAATAAATTTTTAAGATTAATATCTATTATAAGTGGTAGTCTCTGCATTTAAGATGAAACTTTAAATTATAATTTTTTATAGAAAAAAGAATAAGAACGTGCCAGGCACTGCTAAAAATTCATTAGAACAAACGTAAGCCGCGCCGTGAGTTCATCTCGCAGAAAGTTTTTGTTCATTTTATCAACAAAATTTTTAATTTACTTTAAGACTGGCAAAAAAGTTTTTAAATTATGTCAATTTTTAGAATTTTTTTCTGAGTGAAGTATTTGTTCACAGTTATGGGAAGTAAAACTGAGCCCATAGAAGGTTGGGTGGACAACTGGTTTGGGGCAAATGGAACTATGACGATGATTGGAAAGGGTTACATTAGAGTACTGCTTGGGAAAGGTTCCAATATCCTCGACATGATTCCAGTTGACTACGTCTCGAATCTTGTCGTGGTAGCAGCGGCAAAATGCAAAGGGTACGCCGGTTTTATACAAATAACTTTATTTCTCCGGAAAGCTCCAGAGACGTTTTGTGTTCGATTCACATGAAAAGGTTTTTTGTCATTACGCGTCATGGTTATAATTACTTGAATATCTTGATTCGGCCACAACGCGTTATGAGATGTTTCTTCCCCATTGAATGTTTCGCCCTTTGAAATTAATACACTGATGTAATCTAACTACCCTTTAAAGAATTCTCTAAAAAAAGCAGTTCCAACTTGAAATAATACGTATCCATCATATTCAGATCTCATTAAATTATTGATGAAATTATTATTAAAATATTTAGTTAAAAGTTCATAAAATTTAAATGTAATATTTTTGTTGTTATATTGATAATTCTTGTGTAAACCAAAAGTGTAGTCTTGAAATATGTTTTTATTGTCTACAAATACCAGATTTTTATTGCTTGTTCAATATAATTTTAGGTCCAAGGAAATTTTAGTGTACAATAGTTGCAGCAGTACTGCAAACCCGGTAACTCTGGAATCGACGTGCAGATATTTTATAGCTGAAACTGTTAATTTAAAACTAAGTAAGTTCTTTATCTTCCTTTCTTTTTTGTTTTAAGCTACCTTTAATCAGTGAACGCTAAAAAATATGGATGCCGCACGTTCATGCAAGTGATTGTTAATAAATAACACTAATCTAGTGACAGTTAACACGCGCATATATATAAAAATCAATAATTGTCTACTTTACAGAATGCATATACATTAACTGTGTTGTTAACATATTAATATTAAACTATATATTTCAGATGATATCCCATACCCGACAATCACTTTTTCAAAGTACCAGTGGCTAGTAAAGATAATAATATTTATAATTCAGACGATTCCAGCCTTTATAATGGATTGTTTTCAACTCCTAATGGGAAAAGAGCCAAGGTAATTCCTCTAGTCTAAAATATGATATCTATCAATTTTTTTTTTTATGTGAAAATTTTTGCCAAGCGAGCAGACGGTTCACCTGATGTTAAGTGAATAACGCCGCCCATGGACATCTGCTACACCAGAGGGTTCCAGATGCGTTGACAACCTTTTGAAAATTGGACTCCGGCCACCTCGCTCACCAAACGAAACGCGAAAGTATTATACTTCCACTTTACGCCGGTCTTCTGTTAGCTCGTGGTACTTACCCGGTCGAGCCTGCCCATTCGTGCAACAGCCGAGGCTGCTGCGTGGCTGCCTTACCACTATATTCTTTTACACCGTCGCCTTATGCATTTTTACAAACTTTTGTTTTCTTTTTTCAACGAGCAAAAAGAAATTATGGTTCCAACATATATTTAGTCTTAATATAATTCGATTTCTATATAGAAATTTTTGGATTAACTTGCTGCGGAGTCTCCGCCCTTAAAAATGGTATTGGTGATTTCAGTGGTTTGTCGCAAAACCAACAATATCGCTTTGATTTCCGCTCTCCATGGAATTTTCTGCCACATCCAGCCCATTTGTGGAATCAATTTTCACCAAGGTATTACCGGACCAATACGACTTAAGGACCTTCAAAAAGAGCCTATAAAAATCTCAAAGCCATTTTATACCTTTGCTTTTGCAAATGTCCATAAGCGGTAGTGATCACCTATCACCCGCGTCGGCTTACTTTGTTGTCTGATTTTCCATAAAAGCTTATTACATTCAGGTAGTCGTCAATTAAATTTTATTTTATTACAGGTATCAAAAGCTACAAGCGAAGCTCCAACGGTTGCAGAATAGTCAAGAATATTTTACGTCCAATTCGTGGTTAATTCATTCGGAACAAACGCAAGCCCTATACGCCTCCTTGTCGGAATCTGATAAATCTCACTTCAAATTTGATCCCTGTGATATAGTATGGTCTCAATACATATCGGTCTGCTATAAAGGAATTAAGACTTATTTGTTTTAGTTTGCGCTAGATCTAGTTAGATTCACATGTGGAAAAATTGTAGTATTTGTGTGTGTGTGTGTGTGTGTGTGTGTGTGTGTGTGTGTGTGTGTGTGTGTAACTTACTATAATTGTCTTATTTTACAGATACACTGCGGAAAACTATTGGAAGTAACGTAATCTCTATGTCATAACTGTGGGGAAGGATTTCGAAATTAGCGAACACGTTGTTAGCTTAATATCGTCTTTTATATCTCAGCACACGTCTTCCGTCTTAACACACTTCGCTCACACCCGCCATACGTCTTCCCTCTCCCTCTTTCACTCAACGTTCCGTTTTCTCTGCATTCATTACCCATTCCCACATAACTATATGACTTTTTTGTTCTTTTTACCTTTTACAACTCATAACAGTAAAGTACTTTCGTAATAAATAGCCTAATAAAAATCATCATCACAATGTAAGATTCGAATAATGTAAGTTTAATTCCTCAGCCTAATCAATTTATAATCAGTACAGCAAAATACAACGTACCTACATGTTGTATAAATTGAGTAAATTTCAAAATTCACATAAAATCTGTGACGAGAAATATAATTATTTAAATAACACCATTATTAATGAAACTAATTTTACGGATTTATCGCGTTTATTTCTAATTTTACTCCCGACGTTTCGAACTCGGACAGTCTGTCCATGAACGCTGTGGACAGACTGTCCCGTGACCATGAACGCTGTAAAAAATTAGTTTCGTTTATAATGGGTAATCACGTAAATACAATTAATTAGATATCATCACCATTATTGCTAAGCAGCCAATGACCTCAATGCGATGGGAAAATCTATAAATATCGTAATTTTATATTTCGCATTTTTAAGTAATATTTGACGTTATCTAATGAGCTATTTTGCGATATTTTGACACTCTTCACTAATATTTAAGTAAAGTTAGGTAACAGCATTATTATGTCCCACTGCTGGCTATAGGCCTTATATGTATAGAAAATTGGGTCCATGCAACCCTACAGTAGAAGCAACCTGTTCACTTAGCTAACATGAACAATTGAACGAGAGATATTGACTTGCTACTTTGAGCGTGTTTGCAATTAATAAAATGAAGAAGACGTTTTATGCGTGCTGTAAAAAGTGTGATAAGAGATTTTGTGTGATAAAAAGCTGTTATATACACAAGTACGTCGTATATTTTTGTAGAAGACTCAAGGAACATTAATATAAAGCGGAATTGACAGATCTGATTACAACTAGCTATGCTGTTTAATAATATAGATGAAGCATGTCCATACTGCGTGGTGGTTAAAATTGTTCCGCTTTACATTAAATGACACATATAAGTGAAGGTGACATATGATATAGAACGTATGATACGGAAAGATATAGTAGTCTATAGAATTGCAATCTAATGACACCGATTAGTGTAATTTTTTTGCCTCAGTTTCGGCACGCTAATGCCATATGTACCTACTTGTATATGTATATAAATAATATCACTGGCTGCCAGTTGATAGCTATTTGAACTAATATGATTGGTCGAATTTTCTTTAGTTGTGTTAACTCATAATCGACATTACAATCGATATTTATATAAACAATTCAGATTTGTGTATTGTAAATAAGAAATATTATACGACAGACTAAAGCTAATGATAATTAAATCTTTGTAAATTGTAAATATACGTTGGCCAGATTCAACCGTGTATCATTAATGATTGTGAATAAATAATTGAGTTTTTTAAGCCTGTATTTCGTCTAATACTCCATTACTTGAAATATACTGAATAATGCCAATAAAAAAAGAATAGTCACAATCTAATTAACACTTTCGGAGAAATGCTTAGATAACACCTAGAAACATACATACAACTATAAAAATACTCTATATTTGTTTGGAACCACTAGTAGATCATCATATGTGAATATCTTGCAGTTCCAAAATTGTTACATACGTATGTATCGAGTTGATAATCTCCTTTGTTGAAGTCGATTAATCCTGACTAATATTATAAACTCGAAAGTTCGTATGTATGGATGGATGTTTGTAACTCTTTCACGCAAGTACTACTGAATGGATTTTAATGAAACTTTGCAATAATATAGCTTATACATCAAAATGAAACATAGCCTATAATTTATATAGGCTATGATTATACATATTTTTATGTGTATCTGTCTTTCTGTCTGAATATAACGCCTTCAGCTTATTCTACGCAGACGAAGGTCGCGGGCAGCAGCTAGAAAAATATATATATTAACATGTTTTAAAAGTTCCATCAACCGTTTGTCATGTTAGTTAGATTTTTCCAGAAATCCTTTGGTTTGATGCACCAGATTTCTTCGGTCATTAATTGATATCAGTTCAATAAAAGTAATATATTAAACATGCACTAATGTTTCGGAGTACTGTATAGATTTTTTGTATTTTTCACTTGAAGACATAATAAAAAAAAGCAATAATGTTTACCTCTCTAATAACATGAAAGCATTAAGGGTGACACCAATCAACCACCATTAAAAAAATAAAAAATTGTCACTTACACGGGTCTTGAGAATGTTTATTGAAAAACTTTTAACTTTAACATGACAACAATTTATAATCTGAATAGTCTTTTCGATTTTTAGGGTGAACTGAATTGTGAAATATTCTGAAGCGACGACCTAAAAGCCACCTGTTGTGGTTTTGCTTACAAACATTTTACATCGAATTTGTATAGAGTATAATATATATATGTATAGTCTGTTTTTTTATTCTATTATTAATTTAATGATACATTAAAAACATGATATTGGTTTTTCTGTTTTTTCTTATAGCACTCCTGAAACTTGTGCTATATGCGTAAAGGAAAATGATAAACAAAAAAGAATTAAATGTTTTCTTATTAGTTCACTCTTAAATTGAGTAGAAATGTCTTTATGCCGTGGAAGTATGCGGGAATGTAATGTGCCCACACGATTTCGGTAGGATCGCAGGGGAACAGCTGTTGGTCTTGGCTGGATTGTGACGTGAACAATTCACGCGCACGGCCCGACTTGATCATCCATGAACGCAATGGGAAGAACTGCATTGATTCTCTGATAGCCGATTGTTTCGCTTGAGCTTTCACGTAAGAGAAGGAGCTGCGAATGTAGAATAATGAAAACAGTGAAGATGAAAGAATTAAAAAAATAATACTTGAATCTACAATCTATTTCAGGTTTGGCTTGAATTATTCCGTGAAATTTAGTTAATAATTGTTTATCATTAAGAAAACTATTCACAATAATAACTAAATGACATGTTTTTCTACAAACGTTCTTGAATTGAAGTCCTAGACTTATCGATGTGGCTAGTGATAAGAGAAGTAATTTATTCTCGCTTTTTTTATTTCCTTTATTTAAGGTAAAACATAACTATCCAGTGAGTAACTGCAGCTAGCATTCTTCTATGTATCTTAAAGTATGTAAGTTATATCCAAGTAATATGTACCTCTTTTCTTTTCTTGTAACTTTTATCCAGAAATCTGCTAAGTAAGCTGGCAGTATTTCAAATATCAGTGACATAAATCTAATAAGAGTTGAAGACGTCGTGTAAATAATCCCCAGTAGGGGAAAATCATCTGAAAATTACATTATACTTAATATTGGGGAATTCACGATATGTAAAGGTTATTGTTCAACCGTTTTAAACCAAGATATCAACTGATATAAATTACCATTCACTTATATTCAAGCTAGTTATTTTTACACTTCCTACGACGACAAATAAAGAGCTTGACGTAAAACTTGGCAAGTTTAATGTTTCAACTGTAGCGACGAGAAATGGTTCCATTCCTAACAGTAAAAAAAGTAAAATAAAATAATGCTGGGCAAAGCATTCTTCTGTACAGAGGGTATCAGGGCATAGTCCACAATGCGGCCCACTATGGATTGGCAGACTTCACATATCTTCGAAATATATATTTTTTTGTTATTATTTCGAAAGTATGCAGGTTTCCTCACGATGTTTTCCTTTACCGCAGAGCACGGCATAAGTTAGCACTTAAAAATAACAACTTCATTGGTCCCGGCACAGGAGATCGAACTCAGGTTGTTCGAGTATATTGAATTAAAGGCGAGCGCCCGGACACTGAGCCAAACAGTACTCGTTCGAAATATTATATCATATCATATCATCTGCCTGATATCAACTTTCTTTTATCCATCCTTGACCGTTTCTTATTAAATATATATTTTAATTTTGTTAATAATTTGATGATAATGTAATTAAATAAGAAACAGTTGTTAAATTCTATTAAAAATACATTTATCTTTTGCCATATTATACCGAAGAGATAAAAATTCTGAAATTGTTTACAAAAACTATTTTTATGTAACTGAACATATTCGATTGGTCCGATATTTAATATGAAATATGTTAAATTCACTTACTGAATCCACATGCAGCACTCTCCTTCAATAATAACTTTTCGATTAAGCTGTAATCGATAGGATTTGAAGAACTGGTACAAATATTGTACACTGGTACGTCCTTACACCTTCAAAGAGATACAATTGAAGTCAAGATTATACAAATTACAAAACCGGTGATCCTTTAACAGAAGAGCATTCGGAATCTGTTTGCCAGTAAAACAAGGACAACCATTTTTATATGGTGGCATTTCTTGTCAGAAAAACAAATATATTTTTTTTAATGACAAGGTGCTAAATTACCCACCGTCGGTATATGAGGCCTGTGAGATTGCATATGCGTAATTTTTTTTTAATAATGTCCGGACGAAAAGCAAAAGTCCAGCTTACATCACACTTGAGGTAGAAATACTTGCCTGGACAAGAATACCGATTAGTGCAAAATGTTGCTGCATGAGTGAAAATGTGAAAAATCTGTCAATTCTTCAATTTAAATTATTTTTTTTTACCTTTTACACCTAGCTGCTGCAATAATACATAAGTTAACAACGTAATCTACAGGAATGAGGTCGACGACGTTATGTCTTTTTCCATAAAGGAAACGAGTCCATCCTTTTGCAATCGCGTACAGAAAAGTAGTTATGCCAAGCCAATTATCGATCCAACCTCTAAACGGTTCATTTACTGCCGGTGTTACTGAAAATAAACTCGAATTACTAACGGCACATAATATCCTTAAGATTATTTTTATCACCATTACATACATTTGTGTGTTTACGATGGCACTATAGCCACGCGCAAATAATTTCTGTACAGACACCACATTATAATTTTTCCTAACTTCTTTGCAATCGCTCAAATCTACAATCAAGTTACGGTGAAACAAAATATACTCAAACACTTCAAGCTTTAATATGCAAAAGGAGTAAACTACATAAAGGAAGCTCCAGATAACATAAAGCGGTATAACATTTTTAAGCGGAGTACTATAATTATTAGTAAACAAATTTATATCCTTGTCCATCTTGCGGAATTGCTGATAAATCTGAATAATTTACCAATAGACGGTCTGACGATGGCAACTGGCATTTGACCACAATCCTCAACCACCACGTTTTCAGCTAAAGCTTTTGCGAATGTGTACGTATTTGGACGACCACCTAAATAAAAGAAATTACTACATGAAACTTCATCATCTAATACTTTTATGACAGGTAACATTATAAAGTGATATCTTCATTCTAACAAAATCCAGTAGTCTAACATATTATGATTATAAATATGCAAATAGACGCACCTAAAACTTTTTGAATATTGTCGTCATCTTTCGTATTGTTATTGATATAATCATAAACAAAATTAAGACTCCTGGGAGGGGGATAAACTATTTCTTCAATAACCGCTTCGTTTGAATTAGAAAAAGCTGTAGATATGTATACAAATGCCTAAAAACAAAATGTTTTTTTTTTTTGAAAACATTCTTATGCGAAACTAAATTTTGAGGTAACAAGATTACACGGAGGATTCAACATTTCAACCTGTAAATTATTGAACTGTTTAAAAACTCTCATAACTTCTCTTGTGCCATCTACATTGACAGATACTGCATTCTTTAGAGCTTCATTGAACTTAACGGCTGCAGCCAGATGGAAAACCACAGATACCTGAAACAGAATTTTTATCTGCCATAAATATTTATAGGAAGTCCTTAAATCGAAAACACTTTTAAATTGTTTGACGGAGCTAACGTGTGCTCTAGTGCGCATCCCTTACGGTTAAACTACACGACTGTACCTCTTTAATTAAAATTAGTTTTTCCATCGTCAAACCCATATTAAAAGAAGTTAAATCGCCTCTAACGACTTGAATTTTTTGTAAACTCTGGGGCATTTCATCACGTATTCTTGAGAATACCTGTGTAAATAAATGAAAACACATACATAAATGATAAATATTTATCTTCATACTACGTAAGCATAATAGGTGTTTTTCTTTATGCTACGTGATGGGGCAGCTTAAGTTCACTCATCAAGTTTGAACTTACACATTGTCTGTACGTATACATTGATGAAAATGAATCAAATCTTGTCATAAATCGTAGAGAACATGACTTACAGGGCTGTTTAACATCTTTTCTAGTCTGTCATCAGCGCTCGTCCCATTTTTGTCTCTCAGCAGTAATAAAACTTTTCCAATTCCCGTGCAACTGTACAACAGTTTCTCAACTAACACCTGAAATAAAATATCGATTCCAATGCCAGAATTGATCTGAACGTTTTATTATAAAATTGGGTCGGTTGTAGTCAACGCGTATCTCTTACTTTTATTTAGAACTAGCTGGTGCCCGGTGCGCTTACTCCACCGCTTAAAATCGGGTGAACTGCCTATACCAATTCGAACTATGGTTCAAAAGATAAAAATCACTGCGCCACCTATCCGACACTAAGATACCTGATGTTAATCGTTAATCGCCACCCGTGGACATTTTCAACATCCGTAGTGTTGCGATGCGTTGCCACCTTTAATGAAGTGGGCCCCGGCTACCACACTCATCAGACGAAACGCAAAAGTATAACACTTCTACTTCACGCCGGTCTTCTGTGATGTCGTACTTACCCGGGCGGACCTGCCCATTCGTGCAACAGCCGAAACTGTTGCATACTACATAACAAATATCTTATGGCAATCCGCGATTTTTATTAAACACAAAAAAGAAGTGACAAATGACAGAAACGTGACGCTACGCCAGCATAAAACCTGAATCGTAAAAAAAAAAGCTCCATGAGATATCGATTATTTGCTTCACCTTTCCGAGGAAACCGGTTCCGCCGGATATGAAAACAGACTTTCCTCGGTAGAATTCTGCTACAGAAATGTACTGCGAGTCATTTGCAGGTTCCATGTCCTAATTGTAACTGCAAAATGAATACATTCAGAAGTATTAAAAATATTAGTTTAATTCAAGATTAATCATAACAATAGTCTAACATACTATGATTTAAAAAATACAGGCTATAAATAAGCTCACAAAAAAATTTACAACGTAGAAAAAGAACAAAACCATGATAGATTTTCTAGTGCAACAATTATTCTCTTTAACGTACAAATACGTTCATTATTTAGAAGTAAGTAAATATTTACAGAAGTGTAGTGTATTATACTCATAGTATTGTTGTCGACTATTTGTAAAAACAAGGATGAAAAACATAATTAATCAGATGATTCTAAACTGCTGCCAAACTATTCAACACGCACTTGATGTCGTTAAGCTTAGAGAAAAATTCTTAGTTTTTTTTTCCAAGATGATTCCACTTCACAAAATAAGATAAAATACGTAAAAAAAAACTTATAGCAAAATTCAATGACGTTTATTAAGAATAATTTAATAAAATAAAGTAAACAATTATTGAAAATGAAAATTAATTCGGTTACTAGGAATTTCTTGGGGTCAAACATTTACGTTATGTGAATCGAAATGAGTTTTATTTCTATACAGAGCTTACAATGTACGCGTATAACAGACAGACTATTCGGAAGTCCGACATCGAACTTAGGCTGGTTCCGATCCCCGGTGCCGTGGGTCACGTGTCAAGAACAAATAGCATCAATCTCCAAGATCCAATGGTCCCCAACGTCTCGCCGCACGAGAGCATCACGACTAGTAAAGTCAAATTGTTTACCGCCTCCCGACTTTGGGAGCTCCACAGTGAGCTGAGCACATCCTTGTCGGATTCAGCTAGGCTGGCTCGGGCCATCTGGCCATTGCAGCATAATCCCATGGATGGTAGTTCCATATCCATAAAGTTGGGTAGTTCCAGTTCCATAAAATATCTTGATATGACTTATCAAGATATTCAAGTGAAAACTTCCTCACCTTGTATTCGTTTCGCGTACACTTCCTAAGGAGGTATCAGATTACCCCCACTCCCATTAGTTAATTGAACATAACGTTTATTACTTTACATGTAACGTGAAATGTAAATGACAAGAATATTGTGGTATTAATAAAGATCGTATTCTGCATACTAATGTAATATTATGTAAAATGGATATTATTGTGTGTGTATATATAATAATAAATAATAATAATAAAATATCTTTATTCACATAGACGCTTGCGCGTTCTTATGAAACGTCAAAATTTTACAAAGAAATTAACACGTTAGTAAGTTAACACCGGTTCGGAAGGCAGTTTCTGTTGAGAAGAAACCGGTAAGAAACTCAACAGTTGTTCTTTTTTAAAAAATCAGTTTACAATATAATAGTACAGGTACAATAGTCTTGTTTTAGCCTACGTGGGTATCAACAGTATTAACCCCACACATTGGCGTCGTCAAGATATTCGGCAATAGTATAATAGGCTTAAGCCATAAGTTTACTTTTAATTTTTCGTTTAAATTCATCAAGTGGCAGACTTAATATCAACTGTGGGATTTTATTATGCATGCGCACACTTTGCCTCATGAACCTGTTTTTTTTTGTAGACGAAACAATGGCGTAGTTAGTTTGCCCTTATTTCTAGTATTTAGTTTATGTCTGTCACTATTCTTTAGATAATTATTAATATTATGTTTAACATACAAAACATTACAATAAATATATTGAGACGCAACAGTGAGTATATTAATCTCGTACAATATATACAACCATACTATATATATATATATATATATATATATATATATATATATATATATATATATATGTGTGTGTGTGTGTGTGTGTGTGTGTGTGTGTGTGTGTGTGTGTGTGTGTGTGTGTGTGTGTGTGTGTGTGTGTGTGTGTGTGTGTGTGCGTGTGCGTGTGCGTGCGTGCGTGCGTGCGTGCGTGCGTGCGTGCGTGCGTGCGTGCGTTGTGTGCGTGCGTGCGTGCGTGCGTGCGTGCGTGCGTGCGTGCGTGCGTGCGTGCGTGCGTGCGTGCGTGCGTGCGTGCGTGCGTGCGTGCGTGCGTGCGTGCGTGCGTGTGTGTGTGTGTGTGTGTGTGTTTGTAAGTGGTAGTAATGTTAGATCTAGAAATTCCCCCAGTCAGATAACGATGGCTCCTACGTTAAGGGGCGAAAGTGCCGCTTACGCAATTTTCCAATTATTAGCGCAATAAGATTATTTTGCCTTATTCTATGAAAATAAAAAACAAAATCATTTTTTCCTTGTTAAATCCGAAATTCAATTTTAGGCAAATGGGCTTATGTGCACAAATTAGTCGCGTATAAAGCCCCATGGAACTTTCGGTCCATGTACGGTGTAGAGTAACCGCGTCGGAGATGTGACGAAGGGGCGGAGGTACCGCTTCAGTCATTTTACTCAGTTTTTGGCGACTGTCTTTTATAATAGCTATGCCCGTGCCATTTTAACGAAAATTAATTTATAGATTAGCTGGTTTAAACAAAAATGATACCAAAAAAGGTGTGCAATTGACAAGAGACCAAAAAATTATAAATAAACACAACAACACACATTTAAGCATCGAAGATGAGCCTCGTAAACAAAATAATGATACTGAATGTCCAGGTAAGATATAATTATATATTTACGTTTTAATAAATATATTAACATTTTATTAGTGGGTTAAAAATTTTATTTCATTATCACGAAATTTATCTTTATAACTATTAATTTACTGAAAACCTCGTATAGGTGTAAAATACCATCTGCCTTTTTACGTAGTTCGGTTTTCGTTATATCATATGCGCTATTTTTTAAACATTATATTTTTCGTAACTTATGAAAAATATGTTACAAATTTCATTCTTAACGAATATTACTGTATCTTGCTTAATATTGACATATATGACATATATTGACATAACCCTCATTACTTAGGTGTTACTATTGACTTTACTAAACACATATTTTAGTATAAAGACACATATTAATAATGATTCTCGTATATGGGCGGAAGATCAGAAAAGCATTTTTACGTGGATAATAGAGGATGAATAAAATAAAATCAACGGTGTAAAAAGTCGAAAGTGAAAAATCTCGAAATATATTTAAATTACACAAAAGTCTCAGCATGATAAATAATACGATATGTGAATACTTACTGCAAAATTTCGAAAAAATTGCTTCGGTAATTTACAAGATTTGACCCAAAATTCATTTCTGAATACTTTAAACGGCTCTCCTGTAAAATGTGATTTTTCACTTAGGGCAGTTTACTTTGGAGCCATCAATAATAGCTACCGATCGAGCCGAGGCCCGGCCCTCTCGGGCACCCTCGAATCGGAATGCAAAACGCGTATTGAGTAACAGCCCAAGCCGAAGCCCCTCGGGGACCCTTGAGCCTAGTCACTCCATGGAGCGTCAGCCAAAGCGCCCAAGAGCTTAGTTACTCCCAAATCGGTAATGTTAATAATAGCATGCCGGACCCTCGCCGAGGCTCCTTCGGAAGCCCTGGAGCTTAGACAGGAGCTTAGACATCAATAAAAATAAAATAACGCGTAATAATAATACGCCGAGATTCAGGCTAAACGCCCCGCGCGCCGGGCCACCTCAAGTCCGTCGGATCCGTAAAGGTCCCTAAAGCCAACGGTGGCTCATCAAGCCAAAAAAATGTAATTTTTTTCCTATATATATTTTTTTATGCATAATTAAACAAAATATTAGCATTCTGCACTTCTTCATAATGTAAACTGTTGAATTTACTCACACAGTATCAAAAATGAGATACGGCAGGCACGAAAGAAGCACTACTGTCGAATGGAAATGGAAGTGCATTTTCAGCAAGAAATTCCTTGCTGAAAATGTAATGTATGCAACAGGTAATTGACAAGATTTAGATTGATTAATTAAGCTGATAAGCTGGTCAAAAAAGATAGCAATCAGCAAAGAGAGGAATAAATAATTATTAGAAAGATATTGTGGAATAAGATATGCAATGTACATACATTTATCTACGTTGGCAGTACTTTTTGTCTCTGTCGCTAAGTTACACTTAGCTATGATTTTTTGTTTACTACTTCCCACTATTTCACATACCTACTTGTAATATCATAGTGCAGTGCTCAGTTAAAAAAGCCTTAAAATAAAACAGCTTGATTAATAAGCATTTCATTTAAAATGACGTCAGTCGCCTGGGCTCATAACCTGAAATAATTGATGATAATAGTATCATCCTGTATCGTGAGTTATTTAGAATCCAGAAAAGTTCGACGTACGTAATTATGGGCGGGGAAGTAAGAGAGTTTAGTCTCACGGCGGCACGCTGTGGTGCGCGATGTAATCCCGGTAACTTGTTCTGGATAGTAAACAGGGTCGGAAAATGGAGAGTAACAATAATGTGAACGTTGGAATCTCTGGAAATTTCAGACTGCGGTATTGTTGAGAGGCCAAGGTTTGCTGGACGTTGTGGAGAGAAAATGTGTTAAGCCTGAAGATCGTGTAGAAATAACCAAATGGGAAGCTAAAGAGTAAACAACGACGTATTTTCCAGTAAAAATACAAAAAGGTAGACGAGGAACGTGTTAAACAGTTGGGCGAGGAATTCTCTGATAAGTTCGTTATCATAAAAGTGTTGATGTCGTTGCCTGAAGAATATAAACATTTTGTCTCGGCGTGGGAGTTTACACCTGACAATAAGCAAACCATTGATATCTTGGTGGGCAGACTTTTTAACTAAGAACAGAGGGTGATAGGCAAGATTGAAGAGTCTCAGCAATCTTAATTCTGCGTTCGTTGTAAAAAATGCAAGAGAAACAAATTGCTTCAAGTGTGGCCATATTGGACATTTTCAAAGTGATTGCAGACAAAATAAAATGACAGTGAAGAAAATGTAAATAATAAAAACTCTTTCTATTGTGGAAAGTTTGTACATTTCAAGGCGCATTGTAGGATTCGTAAGCAAAATGTTAATAAGACTGAGAATAAAATGAAGCGTAATGCGTTTGTAGTGTCTTGCCACATGAACGACATAAGTCAAAATGTTTAGTAGACTCTGGTGTTAGTGAACATAAGTATCAAAATCGCGCATTGTTTACATCATTCACTAGTAGTACAAAACATCTCACGGTTGTCGTGAGGTGGGTGAGGTGGCGTTGCAAGTGACGAACGGGACCGATTGGACGGTCATAGAATACATTTTTTACGTTCCAAAACTATATGACAACCTATAAATAATAAACTAATAAACTTTATTCAGAAGAAGCCTAATTACGTTTAAATTTATTTTTGACCCCACACTAGGCAATGCCTGTCCTATGGGGGTTAGTTCTTGACGATTTCCAATATAATGCGGCAGTTGTAGCATTTTTTTAAATACAATTTTAACTTACAAATAATCACTTAATATTTATTTCAAAAAGAGAAAAAGCATTAATAACAATTAAACAGAATCGTAACTAATGGTAAGAGTAGTGACGTCCCTTTTTTTTTTTTTTTTTTTTTTTTATGTGAAAAGTTGCCAAACGAGCAGACGGTTCACCTGATGGTAAGTGAATACCGCCGCCCATGGACATCTGCTACACCCGAGGGTTACAGATGCGTTGACAACCTTTTGAAAATTGGGCTCCGGCTACCTCACTCACCAGACGAAACGCCAAAGTATTTTTCATACTTCCACTTTACGTTGGTCTTCTGTGAGGTCGTGGTACTTACCCGGACGGGACTGCCCATGCGTGCGACAGCCGAGGCTGCTGCGTGGCCCTACCACCGTAAGTCCCTCCTCAAATAACATGTTTTTTTTTATTTAGTTCGAAATATAAAAAGAAAAAAATAATATTAATAAAATGAAAATGAAATATAGTGATTTAAATATAATGTTTGATAAGAGTGAATGTTCAGAAGTTGAGGAGTGGGTTATATGTGCGTTTGCGAGGTGTGTGTGTGTGTGTGTGTGTGTGTGTGTGTGTGTGTGTGTGTGTGTGTGTGTGTGTGTGTGTGTGTGTGTGTGTGTGTGTGTGTGTG